CAAAATTGATTTAAGATCCGAGTACTACCAATTGAAGATCAAGGAGCGGGATATTCCGAAAACAGCTTTTAGGACCTGGTATGGGCACTTTGAATTTCTAGTGATGTCCTTTGGGCTAACAAATACCCCGAGAGCTTTCATGGATCTTATGAATCAGATTTTCAAGACTTTTCTTGACTCCTTTGTGATAGTGTTCATTGACGATATTCATGTATATTCACGAAGTCGAGAGGATCATGTCGATTATCTCAGGGCAGTTCTGCAGACTCTTCATCAGCACCAGTTGTACGCGAAGTTTTCAAAATGTGAATTTTGGCTTTAATCTGTCATATTCTTGGGTCATGTCATCTTCTAAGAAGGAATTAAGGTTGATCCTCAAAAGATTGCAGCTGTGAAGACCCTAAACCCTAAACCCTATTGTGGAGGGGGTTCTACTCTTCCCTCTCTGTTGACTAAATTGATTTAGAAGGCAATTAAAATTCTATGGTCTGATGCTTGTGAAAGGAGCTTCAAGGAGCTGAAATCAAGATTGACTACGGTGCAGTGTTGACCCTACCAGAGGGTACATATGTGTTTGTGGTGTATTCCGATGCTTCAGGGATCGGACTTAGGTATGTATTGATGCAACACGATAAGGTGATAGCCTATGCTTCTAGGCAACTATCATGAAAAGAACTATCCAACAAATGACTTAGAACTTTCAGTGGTCGTATTTGCATTTAATATTTGGAGTCATTATCTATATGAGGTCCATGTGGATATATATATTCACGGACCATAATAGCATTCAATACATTTTCAAATAGAAGGAGCTGAATTTGAGGAAGATAAGATGGCTTGAGTTACTCAAAGATTACGACATCGATATCCTGTACCACCCGAGAAAGGCCAATGTTGTGGCGGATGCTCTTAGCCGGAAATCTATGGGTAGTTTGGCTCACTTGGAGGCATATCAAAGGTCGTAGGCCAAGGAGGTTCATTGGTTAGCTAGTTTGAGAGTTCCTCTTGCGGACTCTAGTGAAGGAGGGGTAATTGTGCAAAATAGGGTCGAATCATCGCTTGTTGTGGAAGTTAAAGAGAAGTAATACAATGATCCATTATTAGTACAATTGAAGGAGGGGATTCATAAACATAATACTATGACTTTTTCTCTCGACCTGGATGATGGTACACTAAAGTACCAAGGGCGGTTATGTGTTCCAAAGAAGATGATTGGGTATTCTTGAAGGTTTCCCACATGAAGGGTATAATGCGATTTGAAAAAATGGAAATTGAGCTTGAGGTATGTCGGACCGTACAAAACCATTCAGAGGATTGGTCAAGTGGCATACAAGCTTGAGCTACCACATGAGATGTCATTAGTGCACCTGATATTTCATGTGTCTATGTTGAAGAAAGCAGCCAGAGATTCATCACGTATCATACCAATTGAGACTTGAGGCTAATAAACAACTGTTATATGATGAAATTCAGTTGTCATTCTTGATAGGCAAGTCCGAAAGTTGAGGAATAAAGAAATTTCCTCCTTGAAGGTGTTATGGAGAAACCAGCAGGTTGAAGGCCGAGGAAGAGATGAAGAAGAAGTATCCTTACTTGTTTGAATATCTCTGTAATCTTTTTATGAAATTGTCGCCTATGAATTTTGTATCACTTGCTCAGTTGATGTAAAAGTATTCCTTTCTGGTTATATGTTGTTTATGAGGCCACGGTTGGTGTTGTTTTGTGTTATGTTATGTCATTGGATTATGTATATGTTGTTAGGATGTGTTTTTGGGGTTCTCTGGCATGTGGATAGGTACAGTTATATGGGAAACTCTGCCGAAATGTTTGGAGTTAGTAAAATTTGGTAAGTGGATGAAGATTTAAGTCACATTGGGTGTCTAAGGCAGACTCTAACCCTCATTCGAGGACGAATTATCCTAAGCGGGGGAGAATGTAAGACCCCGTTAAAATTTTCTATTGATTTAAGATTTGGGAATAACGTTTTCGAGTATTATAGGAGAACTGTGGGATAAAACCACATCATTTTGAAATGAAATTATATAAGTATGTTGGGTTTGTAAGTGGGAAGAATTTGTGTTGAACAAGTTGGATACATTAAGTGGAAAGAATGTCTCAATTTGCACAACACCTTACTTTAAGTAGGAATTACTCTCATAGCAAAAAGATATTTTCCATGAATTTTGTCCCAAAAGCATATCCCTATGAGTCTGGTTTCAAACGCATCAAACCATTTGTCATTTAGATATTTCTACAAGAAATTATGATCAAATTATTAAAATAAGGCAGACCGAATTAAGAAAGTCTTGCTATGTGTTTAAAGCCTTAAATCGCACCTCGAGATCTCCACTTTTTGCTTGTGTACCCTGGATATCTATGGATGAGGTTAACATTGTGTAATCATTATTTCATACTTATTTGAAGATTTGGAAGTAAATTGGGGTATACATTATGGCAAGGTATCGAAGGAGAGTATGTTGGAAACATGAAATATAGAAGTGATGCTACTGGGGAGCTCGTATGAACTCGTGCGCTGCACGGGTTTGGACCAGCCATGACCCCCAACAATGTTAAAAAAAATAGCAAAGTATTTCCCCAGCATGCGAACTTGAACGAGAACTCGTCCATGTCCGCGCGACGCACGAGGATGCACAAGCTAAGCATGAAGCCTTTATATAGAGCATTTCGGTAGCTCACTTTCCCCACTCCTCTTGGCCAATTCTTGGAGCTCCTCTCCACTCTTTCAAGACCCCTCAACACCTTCCATCTTCAAGGTGAGTAATCCCTACTAGGTTGGTATTTCATTCCATCAATTCCACCCTATAACTAACCAAATTCACCATGGAATTATTAGATTTTCAAGGAATCTTCCCAAAAGCTCAAGTGAGAACTTTTACAAGATTCACCCCCAAAGGTAATTCCATCTCCTTTTACTTGCATGCATGACTTAATAATGAATATATGAGTAGCAATTTAGATCTAGAACTTATTTCATAGTGATTGGAAGCCATAGTTTCACCAATTGGAATTTTTAGAATTTGTAGAGAATGAAAAGTGATTTGTTTGATGAATTGGTTGGTTGGGGTTGGATGGTAAGACATGAATACGTTGTTGGAGGTCCTAAGCTATTAAAGGCTTGTTGTAATATGAATTGGTGGGGCAAATAGCGGGTATTGGATAAGGAAATATCATCAATGAAGGTTGTAGAGAAATGTGCACACTCAATGTTTGATAAAATGCCCAAGTGAGCTAAATGCTATCAACCCCCTTCCTAATGATGGTCCAATTTGACCATGTTTCTATAGATTGACATTGCCAAGGGTAGTGGAACATTATAGCAACTCTAACAAAAGCTCAATCGAGATATGTTGGCTCAACTCTTTCTTAAGAATTGAACCCCACATTACTCTTGTAAGTTCCAAGATGGGAACCAATTATTTCGAATAAGCTTGGTGATAAGGATACATGTTCAATTCATCTTTCAAATGCTCTTATTATGTTGTACTATTAATTGAGGATGTGTGCAAAATTATGGATTGTGTATCTACATATTGTAACTCCAAGTCGTGTTTCTTATGAAAGTTAGGATGCCAAATTGTGTAGAAATTGTGATTGGGATTACACCTCCACCCGCATATACATTGAGGTAAGGTGGCAGGGCCACTTTGTGTGGAATTTTGGGTATTTTGTTACACCTCCACCCGCATACATATTGGGGTGAGGCAACGTGGCCGCTTTGTGTCGTATTGGTATTGTTGTTACACCTCCACCCACATATATTGGGGTAAGGCGGTAAGGCCACTTTGTGTAGGTTTTGATATTGTGGTTAACCTCTACCCGCATACAATGGGGCGAGGTAAAAAGTCCACTTGAGTAGAGTTGGGGTATTGTGCATGCACCTCCACCCGCATACATTGGGGTGAGGCGGCGGGGCCGCTTTATTTAAAGATAGTTTCAAAGGATCTCGTCTGAAAATTTATAAATGTTATTGGCATCTCTTGATAAACTTGCGCTAGCTTCAATGGCCATCTATGCTATTTTATTGTCACCCTGATTCATTATATTCATGTTGTATTTTCAAGTTCTTGATTAGGTGTTTAGTTTTCATACTAGTACTATTCGATATGTACTAACGTCCCTTTTGTCGGGGGTGCTGCATCTTTAATGGATGCAGGTGGTTCCACAGTGGAGGACATTGACCAGTGATAGCGGTAATCATTCTTCCCAGCTGACTTGGTGAGCCCCATATCATTCCGAGGTTGTGCATCTTTTGCTTCGTATGTATTATCATGTTTTGAGGTATAGCCGGAGCCTTGTTGCCGACACTATCATTGTACTCTTTGGTATCTTTAGAGGCTCCATAGACATAGTGTGAGTCGTGTATTGGTGTGGTAAAAGTTGAACCAAAAATTTCATAATTGTATCACATGCTCCTATTTGTAAACTATGGTTGTGAAACTTACTATTTTGGAGACTTATTAAATGAAGTAACTAATGGATATGTATTTGGTATTGTCTACATGATCTCCTTGTTGGTCAATTTTCAAGTTATGTATACTATTTAAATCATGGGTGAGTTGGGTAGAATGTATTCAGCAGGCTTGCTTGACCGGGTTCACTCGGTTGAGCGCCGGTCACGCTCCCCGAGTTTGGGCGTGATAGAAGATCAAGGTGTCACTACTAGAAATTGGACCTATAGCAACGATATTTTCCACAACGGTTATATAACCGTTACTAAAGATCTCTATAGCAACGGTTATAAACGTTCCAATAGGATATCAAATCAACCGGCACATTTTTGCAAGTAAACCATTACATAAGTGAAATAATCGTCGCCATAGGGTGTTCTATTGCTACAGTTGTTGTAACCGTAATAGTAGGACAACATGTGGATACGGTTCTTTGCAAAATGGGTCTATGGAGACGGTTCAATTTCCCTTCTAACTTTACCAAATTTTATTTTTATTTTTGTTTTTTCCTCCTTTAACCAAACCCTAGATTATTTTTTTAAATTTCTAATAGCAAAATAGATGAAGCCCACTCAGATGAACTATTTCCTAGAGCACATCGAACAAGAACAACTCTTTCCACTCAAAAATACTCTCTCAGCTATCAAAGAATACTCCCCCAAGCAAATCTGAAGATACCCAAATTGCAAGGACTCGGCAAATAGATCGACGGTCTCTTAATTCCAATAAATAAATTGTAAGGACTCAGCAAATAGAGGACTCAACAAGTAGTACCTGACGAGACTCCCATCCAGATATTCCGGTGCCTTAGCTCCTGGGTACCATAACGGTCTGGCCGGGATTTGCTTTTTCGGAGCCTTTTTAGGCGTAGCTTTTTTGGTACCGAAACTGAATCTGGCTTGGACTTTGCCATCGGAGACTCTTAATTTTTCCGTAACTTCAAAGGTTATACTCATGGTGACTCTTAATTTTTTCTACAAGTTTATGGTAAGATACATTGATTCCCTTTGTATTTTGATAAATATTAGTAGGTGAAGCAATTTTGGTAATAGTAGGGGTTGGAGAAGCTACAAATTTGGTGCAATAAGGGTAGAGACTTTAGCTCCTCATCTTAAAGTTATTATTGAAAAAGCCAAATTTTTGTCAAAGGTCAGTACTACTGTCTGCTTTTCTAAGTAGAAGCACTAAAAAATTTCTTCATTTTCATTAGTAAATGTATTTAAATGGTTTGGATCCGAATAAATTTGAATGATTTACTGCTTTTTTATTTTGTTTTTTTGTTGGTTTCTTCTTGTTTGTTCAATTTTATATCTCTAAATAGTAATACAATTGCTGGATTAATACCTAATTTATGGATATTCCTATGTGGTAAAAGGATTTTGGATGCCTAATTACTCTCCAGATTTTTTAATGGCTGAGATATATTGTTAACAAGGACCAAATCTAAGCTCATGTTAAAGCAAATTACAAAATGTAAAGAAGCGCACGAGTGTTTGTGACTAAAAGCAAGTATATTCTAGCACCATTAAGTCTCTCACAGGAGCCACTTATTGTACGACAGGTTTTGTTTTTCAATCTTGCCTCTCTGATAAAAGTTTTGATTTATCCTAATGAATAACCAGTTGGTTAGAATACTCCTCTTGCAATCATGTTAATTATAGAACTTCAACTTCTTTTATCTAAACAGATTATAGATTAAATAAGTAAAAAAAGAAACGAAAAATAGATTACAGTACTGCTTTGACTATTTATGCTTTATGTTTTTTCTCTAACTTCAGTGTTGTATTGTGGACCATCTCTTCATAAGTGATTTGTGGACCTGATTATGTTACAGATATGCACTATGTGTAGTCAAATTTCTTGTGTTACTAGACTTTATCTCTTACTTAAATCCTTGGACTTCATCTCTTAGTTACAGATATTCCATCTTATGCACAAAATTCACATGATACAATTGTGGAAACATCGAAAGAGGAGGATGGGTTTGATGATACTGATTGGGACTGGATGGAAGCAGATGATTAAATAACAAAATTATGAAATTTTTTTAAGTATATTCTTTTTTGGGATCTCCAACTTCCTCTTCTGGTTTAGCCGTTCTACATTTTGAGGTAGAATATCAAATTTATGATTCAACCATGCTACATTATTGATTCTATAATTTATTTATCCTGATAGGTTTTGATGATTTTTTCTCCACTTAGATGCACATAAATCTCTTCTTGTTGATGTGTAGTGTAACTCTTCTTCTGTTTTCTTTCTGTGCAAATCTCAAGGTAAGCTGTTAAAAATAGCTGAAGTGGTGTCAAGTTTGTATGGAGAGGAGGGAGTTGTTCTTGGCATTCATATTTGCAGACTTATTTGACTCTAAAAGTTGCTAAGTTAACAAATAAAACAACCTTGATCCCATCTTTTATTGGTTGTGATAGTTTCCATGTTATGAGTTGATGCTCTTTTGGCCGTCATTCTTCCAGATTTTCCCACTGTTTCTGCCTTAGGTTGCAAGATATGCCTATATTCAAAATCATATGCTCACATGTTCCTGCTTCTTCATCCTCTATTATCTTAACTGCTTTTAGCGTTTGTCGAAAGAGAGGATGCAACAAAGAATGCATGAAAAGTTGAATGAACAAAAGGATGTTATGGAAAAAAATATTACAATGAACATCATCGCACGACTTCAGCATCAGAACCCAGATTTGCGACTTGATCCTGACATGTTAAGGTTCAGTGAACGTTCATCTGTAGAAGCTTTCTCTGCACAACAAGTTGTTGTTCAAGTAAACAGTCAACCATCTGCTGGTAGTAACAATCAAGGTTAGTACGTATCAAATGTTATACATCTTCTTCTATTTCTTCTTCTTATCCTCTTTCCTTGGTTGGAATTTTTCTTTTGTTCAAGGCAGAGTGGATATGGTAATATCCTTTTTTCTTCCTATAGATGTGCTTATTTCGGTATTATTGGTATCCAACTTCTTTTATAACAGCTTCTGTTTCTGTGTTGGTTGATTTTATGCTATATACTGTCTTCTTTAAATTTTTGGTCATTTTTATGCTATATACTGTCCAAATATCATAATGCATGAACGTGGTGGCTGCCACAAATATATGTGAGCCAAATCCGATGGTTAAATATCAAAAGTTTTTCTAGATCTTTTCCTTCTTCGTGAAAATGGAAGGTTTTGTGGCTGTCACTGCCAGTCACTTTTTCCTGCTAATGTGCAGCAGTGAACAACAACTGATTGATTTTGTGCATATCAAGGGACTTATTTTAAATAAAAATGTTCATTCTTTATGAGTAGCATATGATATGTCTTTATGTTCGAGTGCTCCTGGTTTCTTCCTCCCCTTTCTCCCTTTGGTACTATTTTGTGCATTTCCATATGGGACCAAGTGAATACTAAATGCATGAGTAGTTAATTGACTCCCTTCTGGAGATCTCATATAAGTTGGGTAACTATCTGAGGTGTTACAAGTTCTAGGTGATAAATAATTTTGAAATTTGACTAACTAACCAGATACACAAATAGTTGTGCTCTGTTTTCCAGTGCTACAGATTCTAAGATATGGTACCAAGGTTGTGGATACCCTGTTTCTTTGATTGCAAATGAGAGTAGAAGCCCTCTCACTCCATGCTATATTTTGAAATGATTACACCAGTGTATCTGTAGAGTAAAAGAGAGAGAAAAAGTTGTAGTGTTAAATGCTCCAACCTATTTTCCTTGACCAATAAAAGGAACTTAACTAATTATAGACCAAATGAATAAAAGTTTGTACTCTAAAATTAATTTATAAATGGTTTTTGAAAATGATAAAGATGCTGAGATATATAGGTAAAGAACATATGTTATACCTATCTGCACTAACATGGACAAGCCAAATCTAACTAATTTTAGCACAGAGATAGTTGTTCAGTTGTTCTCCTGATTATATTGATATAATATAAATGTAGCATATACTTTAAAGCATATATTAACATCATTCTTTATAGGCTATAAGGAAACAAAATAAAATATAACAGAAGGTACTATGGTCATGGCTTGGCATCTTATGGCCAACTTGGAAGACTTGAACTTCTTTCGTAGTTTCTTTTTGCTTTGCAACTACTATTGTTAGTTCTGGAGTTTTCATGTTCTTTTCTTTTTTTATGGCAATTTGTGCTATGAGTATTCTTAGATCGGATTCTTTTGAAGGGTAATAACTTTATTTAACCTCTTTTATAGGTAGAGTAGATCAAGAAATGAATGATAAAGACAATGAAGAACTAGATCTTACTTGAGATAAATCTTGAATTGTTACAGATGAATGTTCTTGGAATCTTTTGTTACCAACATTTTTTAAACTTATTTACTCTCTTGAAATATACTAAACTGATACACTCAGGGGTAGAACATTTGCTTTTTGGATATTATTTGCTTGATGGATAATTTTATATTATTAATAGTTTAATTTTCTGATTTATTTAAATTTTAGTGTTATTATAATTTATTATATAAATATAAATATTTATTTATAACAGGTGCTATATTTTAGTTTTAACTAAACTGATAGAATAACCTACTATAACCGTTGCAATGGGACACAAATGGCATTCCAGTAGACAATGTAAATCGTTGCAATAGGTCCTATAAACTGTTCGAGAATGATCTATAAACCGTTCCAAAAACAAATATAAGCGTACGATAACTCAAAGAAACCGTCGCTATATCCAACATAACCGTAGCAATAGCTTACATAAGTGTTACTTTAAATAATATGGTAACAGTTAAGAACCGTTGTATAAACCATATAGTAACAGTTTTAAATCGTTCCAATTGAAAAAAAATCATTCCAACAGACAAAGGAAAAACCGTTGCGATAGATGTATCTATAGTAACGACGATGTAAACCGTTGCAAGAACCATTCCAATAGACCTATGGACACGCAGGCTGATGTAACGGGCTATAAACCGTTCCAATATCCCTATGGCAACGGTTTGACAGTCTGTGGGAACGGTTTTTCAACCGTTACCATAGACCAATTTTTCAGTAGTGTTTCTAGACATGGTGCGTGTTGATTATCTACGCAGCTTGATGATCGGAGATTTCAAGGTAGATGCCCAGTGTTTGTAGACTTTGACTCTCCTTCCCTATCTTTCAGCTTTATATATTTAGTTTCGGTTTTTCATAGATAGTACTTTCAGAGTTGTGTTGTATAGATGCTCATGTACTCTGTGACACCCTGGTTTTGGGAACTTCCGTATTGAGTTTTGATTTTCCATATAGTTTATAAGAGCTTAAATTATTTAAACTGTTTTACCTCATTTCTCATTTAAAAGTGTTGGAAATATTTAAAATGTCGGCTTGCCTAGTACCACGTTAGGTTATCACGACAAGCCAAGTTGTGGGTCGTGACAAGCTTTTATTTCTGTCATAATATCTCTTTGTTAGGCTTACTTAGTCTTAGATACAAGGTGCCATCACGAAATCCTAAGTAGAAAAAATTGGGGTCGTAACAAGTTGGTATCAGAGCTCTAGATTCATAGGTGTTACGAGGCATAAGCGGTAGTAGAGTCTTGTAGACCGGTACGGAGACATCTGTACTAATCTTCGAAAGGCAACGAAACTATTAGAATAACTCGACTTCTTTGATTCCTTATCATGCGAATTGGTTTATTTCATAATCTAAATCTTTTACTTTGTATTCTCTCACAAATGGTGAGGACAGGCATTGCTGGATCCGATGATCAGACACATGCACCCCCTTCTAGAGCCGTGAGAGCTGGGGCCGGAGTAGAGGTCGAGGAGGGGCACGTGGTGCAGCTAGAGCACCTGATAGAGCTACGATAGAGGAGCCATCAGTAGCTCCAGTTGGAGGACAGACACCGAGGTGCTTGTTTCCACCCCTGCACTTTAGGAGACCCTCGCACATTTCTTGAGCATGTTCGGTACTCTAGCTCAGCCGGGGTTGATTCTATTTACACCAGCCACATCTTGGACTAGGAGAGGATTTCCGACCCCCGTGGCCCGTACTCCAGAGAAGTGGGTTCATGTTGATTAGGTCCTAGAGGTTATGCTAGCACAACTCGTTATACCGGTTCAGCTCTAGGTTAGTGTAGTGGCATCTGAGGAGGAGCATCTTAGACTTGAGAGGTTCAAGAAGTATCATCCTGCTACTTTCAGTGGCTTAACTTCAAAGGATGTTCAGGATTTTCTAGAGAAGTGCCATTATATTCTCCGCACAATGGGTATTGTGGAGATGAGTGGAGTTGCTTTTACTACATTCCAGCTATCAGGAGCAGCATATCAGCGGTGGTAGGTTTACGAGGAGGGTAGCCTAGCCGATGCAACTTCAAATACATGGACTCGATTTTTAGAGGTGTTGTTGAGTGAGTTTGTTCCCAGACCATTCAGGATACATGGCACATGGAGTTTAAGTAGCTACACCAGGGTACTATGTTAGTGTTAGAGTATACGGTCAGATACAATGATTTTTCTAGACATGCACCTACTTTGGTTTCTACAGTTAGGGAGCAAGTTTGCTAATTCATTGAGGGATCAACTATGGTATTAGGTTTAGCATGGCTCGAGAGTTAGAGATAGATACCCCATATCAGCAGGTGGTAGCGATCGCACAGAGGTTGGAGGGTATGCGGGGCCGTGAGAGAGAGGATAGGGAGGCCAAAAGGCCTCTAGGTACTCGAGGATTTAGTGGTGGCCACGCTAAAGCTATAACTACAGCCCATCATGGTAGAGATTATATGAGTCATCCAGTTCACTTAGAAATTCTAGCTTCTAGTGGTGCTCCGATTATTCTGAGGTCTCAGGTTGCACACTCTACTGAGCCACTTTCTAGTGCACCTCTTGCATGGGGTGCCTTTAGTGGTCTGTCCAGCCGACCAGGCCAGAGCCAGTCCCAACAAGCACACCTATTGAGAGCTTGCTTTGAGTGTGGTGATACCCGTCATATGGTTAGAGACTTCCCCTGACTCAGGAGGGGTGAACCTCCATAGATTACTCAGGCTCCATAGATTCAGTCAGGTCCACAAACTTCTCAAGCCATGGTTACTGCCCTAGTTTCCGTTCCACCCATACAACCAGCTAGGGCTAGGGGCAGGCAGGTAGAGGTCTCCCTAGAAGGGGAGGCCATGCCACATTCTATACTTTTTCGGGTAGGACAGAGGCAAATGCTTCAGACGCAGTCATCACAGGTATGGTTCCAATTTGTCATCGATATGATTCAGTCATATTTGATCCTGGATCTACTTATTCATATATGTCATCTTACTTTGTTCTATTTTTGAATATGTCTCGTGATTCCTTGAGTTCTCCTATTTGTGTGTCCACGCCTGTGGGAGATTCTATTATTCTGGACCGTGTGTATCGGTCATGTTTAGTTTTTGTTTGTGGTTTGAGACTAGAGTTGATTTATTATTGCTCAGTATAGTAAACTTTGATGTGATCTTGAACATGGACTGGTTATTGCCCTATCATGATAATCTGGATTCTCACGCCAAGACTATGCATTGGCTAAGCTAGGTTTTAGGTTTACCATGATTAGAGTGGATGGGTACTTTGGATTATGTTCCTAGTAGGGTGGTATCATTGCTAAAAGCTTAGCGGATGGTTGAGATGGGTGTGATGTATATATAGCCTTTGTGAGAGATGTAGGTGCTAATACTCCTACCGTTGAGTCAGTTCCAGTAGTGAGAGACTTTCCAGATGTATTTCCAACAGATCTTCCAAGCATGCCGCCCGATAGGGATACCAATTTTGGTATTGACTTGTTGCAGGGCACTCAGTCCATTTTTATCCCACCATATCGTATGGCCCTAGCAGAGTTGAAGGAGTTAAAGAAGTAGTTGCAAGAGTTGCTTGATAGGGGTTTCATTCGGCCTAGTGTATTGTGTTGGGGTGCTCCGGTCTTGTTTGTGAAGAAGAAGAGTGGTTCTATGTACATGTATATTGATTATTGGCAATTGAACTAGGTTGTCGTGAAGAACAAGTATCCATTGCCGCGTATTGATGACTTATTTGATCATCTACAGGGTGCTAGAGTGTTCTCAAAGATGGATTTGCAGTCAAAGTATCATCAGCTAAAGATTCGGGATTCAGATATTTCGAATACTACCATTAGGACTTGGTATGTTCACTACGAGTTCCTTGTGTTGTCATTTTGGCTGACCATCGCCCCAGCAGCATTTAAGTACCAAATGAATAATGTATTCCAGCCATATCTTGATTTATTCGTCATTGTGTTTATTGACGACATCTTGATGTACTTCTGTAGTCGGGAAAATCATAAGCAGCATTTGAGGATCGTGCTCCATACCTTGAGAGAGAAGAAGTTGTATGCAAAATTCTCAAAGTGTGAATTCTGGCTTGAGTAGGTGGAGTTTTTGGGTCATGCGGTGTCGAGTGATAGGATCAAGGTACATCCGAAGAAGATTAAAGTAGTTTAGAATTGCCATAGACCGTCTTCAGCTACTAAGATTCAGAGTTTCCTTGGTTTGGCCAAGTATTATTGTTGTTTCATGGAGGGTTTCTCATCAATTGATGTACCTATGACCAGATTGGCCCAGAAGGGTGCCCCTTTTAGACAGTTCGAGTATTGTGATGTGAGTTTTCAAAAGCTCAAAACTGCTTTAACTACAGCCCCAATGCTAATATTACCTATGGGTTCAGAGTCTTACACTGTGTATTGAGATGCGTCACATGTTGGACTTGTCGCGGTGTTGATGCAATATAGTAGGATGATTTCCAACGCGTCTCAGCTGTTTAAGGTTTATGAGAAGAATTATTCGTTCCACGACTTGGAATTGGCAGTTATCATTCATTCCTTGAAGATTTGGTGGCACTATTTGTACAGTGACCTATGTGAAGTCTATATCGACCACCGGAGCCTTAAATATTTGTTCAAATAGAAAGATCTTAACTTGCGGTAGCGGAGGTGGTTAGAGTTGCTTAAAGACTATGATATCACTATTCTATATCATCCCGGAAAGGCCAATGTGGTGGCTGATGCCTTGAAAAGAAAGGGGGAGAGCTTGGGCAGTTTGGCATATCTACCGGCAGTAGAGAGGCCAGTAGCCCTAGATATTTAGGCTTTGGCCAACCAGTTTGTTAATTGGATGTTTTGGAGCCCAATCGAGTTCTTGCTTGCGTGGTTTGTCGATCTTCTTTATATGACCGCATCAGAGAGCATCAGTATGAAGACCCTCATTTGCTTGTTTTTAAGGTCACGGAAAAGTACAGCGATGCCAAAGAGGTTTCTATTGGAGATGATGGTGTGTTGAAGATGCATGGCTGGTTATGTATTCCCAATGTAGATGGGCTACATGAGTTGATCCTTCAGGAGGTCCACAGCTCGTGGTACTTCGTTTATTTGGGTGCCGCTAAGATGTATCAAAATTTGAGGTAGCACTATTGGTGGAGGAGAAATGAAGAAAGACATTGTG